TAAACCATATGAAAGTGGGAACACTATCATGTGGTTCTGCTGTGCATCCTCAGCGTGCCTGGCCTCATACAGAAATGCAATTTCTGGAATAAATATTGCAAAAGGAATCGCACGATCCTCCACATTTAAGCTGCAGGGGTTCTCTGTTTTGTTTTCTGCTCGTGTTGAAAATCCACCCGGTTTAATTGCCTTCACCTTCAGAAACACCTTTTCACTCTTAATTTGAGGGCACACATTCTTTGTTAAATCAACCAAGTAGTTGTGGAAAAGAAGTGTTGTGCATAAATACGCGACTCATTGAAGCTCCCCTGCCCCCTCCAGGTATGAGAAGTGAAAGAGAAGAGCATTAAAACTCCATGAATTAAGAAAAAAGAATTGTCACAGGAACAGGCCAACCCACGTATAAATGGATAGATGATATGTTTTTTAAAAGGTCTTTTAAATAAGTGGGAAAATATGAACGATATAGGTAATTCATTGGCAAAACTGGCCACCTGCTTCAGGGAGAAAATGGAAGTAGACCCTGCCTCATGCTGCTCACCAGCCATTTCATTATTATTGTTAAATATATTTGTATTGATTTCACAGAGGAAGGGAGACAGAGAGAGAGAGAGAGAGAGAGAGAAACATCCATGATGAGAGAGAATCATGGATCGGCTGCCTCCTGCACGCCCACCACTACAGATCGAGCCCCCAACCCGGGCCTGTGCCCTGACCGGGAGTCGAACCCTGACCTCCTGGTTCACAGGTCGACGCTCAAGGACGGGGCTCACTATCCATTTTAGACGGCTTAAAACCCCAATCATCCTATATAATAAAGAGCTAATATGCAAATGGTCATCGCACCCTCATGCCATCACACCGTAATGGCTCAGACACTCAACACTGGCGAGAGAGGAATGGGGACCAGCCAGGCTGTGGCCTGGGAGAGGGACAAGCTGCACGCCCTGTGGTCCTGGGTGCCAGCGGCTGGGGTTGCAGCCCAGGAAAGCGACAAGCCACGTGGCCCATGGTCCCAGGCATCTGCGGTTGTGGGATGGGTGAAGCCACCTGCCCACAGTCCCCTGCGGCTGTGGCCAGCCCGGGCGAAGGTGGCCTGGGTCCTGGGTGCCTGCGGCCAGCCAGAGGGAGGGAAGCCTGGGTCCCAGGTGCCTGTGACCGGCCAGAGAAGGGAATCATGGGTCCCGGTGTGGGGGGAGGCAGAGGCGTTTAGGGGTGATCAGGCCAGCAGGGGAGCAGTTAGGGGTGATCAGGCAGGCAGGCAGAGGTGATTATGGGCAATCAGGCAGGCGAGTGGTTAGGATCCAGTGGTCTCAGATTGCGAGAGGCAGTCGGACATCTCCTGAGGGGTCCCGGATAGGAGAGGGTACAGGCCGGGCTGAGGGACGCCCCCCCATCTGTGCACAAACTCCGTGCACCAGGCCTCTAGTCTAAGTATAACAATAGAAGGAGAAGATAACTTGAGGATTAGAAAAGGCTCTTAAACCAGATGTAAGAGGCAGCCCCGGAGCATGCAGGGCTTTCTGAAACGCAGAAAGGCTTTTGTGGGAGGGGGAAGTGGGGGTGGGTGAGAACCATGCAGGGCTCCCACAGACTGGCTGAGAGAAGATGACAGTGTGGTCTGAAGGGCAGTGATGACAAGGGGACAGATGATCCTAAACATGTTTCGGGGTCACGGGATGGGTGGGGGGACAAGAAGGTGAGTCTATGGCACTAAGAGGGCCAGTCCGGGGAGACGCCTGGCGGGGCGGACTTTCCCCTGAGGGCGCATGGTGACCCGAGGGCGGTGTCTGCCCCAGGAGGGACACCCAGGAGGGACCGCACACCCAAACCCAGGAACACACAGGCATCATATGGTAAAGCTACACACCTGAGCTTTATATGTTATTAACCAATGGTACCCCACTACATTTAATTTAAAAAATGGAAAACCAAAAGATGGCTTCAGCTCCAGTGACCGGAAACACACAACCACATCTTTCACTTCCTTCCACTGACTTGTGCCTCCACGAGGCCTCGTTGAAATCTTGGCGCCTTGCGTTACAATGAAAAGTTTAGTGAGGCCCATCTATCTCAAAACCAGAAATTCCTTGTTTCTTTAAAGACTTCAATGGCAAGAAAATTAGTACGAGGTCCTTTTCCCTCGATGCCAATTATTAGTGTGTCTCTTAAATCCATGCTTCTGCATAAGAACTTAGTCATGGGCTACCATGACCCTCCTGATGAAAAACGATCACACTTCGTAGTAAGCAGTCTTCTGGGCACGTTACCAGCTGCCAGCTGTAATGTGGACATGGCGATTAGCTCCTCTAAGCCACCAATAATGAATCTGCCCGTTCAACACAGTTCATTGAGCCGCTAGGATGAGCCCAGCGCTATTCTAGTCGCTGGAAATAGAGCAGCAAACAAAACAGACGACAACTCATGCGCGTGGGGAGCTTGTTTTCTCGCTGTGAAGTATAAATGGTTCACAAGGGACAAGTGAAATGTACGCAGTAGTAGGGGGTGATAGGCATTATTCAGGGGAAAGGAAGCAGGAAGCAGGGATGGAAAGAGAAGTGATTGATAAGTTGCCAGGGAGGCCATGCCTATGGGTGATAGTTGAGCACATGCTGGGAGGAGGTGAAGAAATGAGACAGGATAACTCACAGGGGACCATCTTGGGAGGAGGGGAGGGCACATACAAGCCCCTAACCTGCAGTGCCCAGTCACACCGGGGCCAGCGGGGGCCAGTGTGGCCGCCGTGGAAGGAGCCAGGCCCAGCCTGAGCGAGGAAGACTAATGGAGTCTGGATGTCTGGGTGGCGGGCAGATGCCCTGGGCCCTTGGGAGCCATTTTTAGGATTTGGGGTTCAGTCTGACTGAGACGGAGAGCCTTCGGAAGTTTTTGAGCAAAAGGATCCTTGTTCTGACCGAGTTCTTAAGGGGCTAATTCTGGCTGTTGGGCTGCGAGCGAAGGGGGCCAGGGCTGTGATCCAAACGGAATAACGTCTAAGTGACTTTCGGACCTCTGTCTTGAGGAGGTCCAGCTTCAGCAGGAATTGTCAGTGTTTGTTTAAATAAGAGAAATGTTTTAATTAGTTCGAGACATGGATGTCATGAGGCAGGGAGCGCCCCAAAGAGTGTCACTCGCACACACTGGCGTCTTTCCCCAGCGCCAGGCTCATTGGGGGGACCTGCCTGATAAGCCGACAGTCACACACAGGTTACACAGAGAGGGACGCACGTGCCACAGATGCGAGCAGAGCAAGCGTCCCGTGTGGAGACTTGGAGCTGAGTTCTTACAGCCACAGGGCTGGGGTCCCACTCATATTGTCATCGACAGCCAAGGGGTCTGGCCGCCTGTCACTACCTGAGCCAATTAGGCAGAGACAGGGTTGGATCCTCTGTGAGCGTTTATTCCAATCCTGCCCGCAGCAGGGGGAGCAGCAGGCCACCCACAGACATCTGCTCTGCCCCCCCATATGCCAGCTGCTTACATTGGGTAGAAGGACAAAGATTACATGGGGAAATGGGCAAAAGGGTGCGCCAAAGGGGCAGTTCACAGGTAATGGGGGCTGGGGATTTGCAAAGGCCTGTGGGTGTGCAAAGGCCTGTGGGTGTGCAAAGGCTGGGGGTCTTCAAAGGGCTGGTTATATGCAAAGGGCTGGGGGTCTACAGAGGGCTGGCAGCTCTTGTTTCTGCATCAGGTTGTTGATCTTTCCATGATCACAGGCAGCTCCCGGCTGGGGAGGATGGGCCGCATTTCCGGGGTGAGCTCCCAGGGCCCACCGGCACCTCCCAGCCAGGTGAGCACGCGCCTTCTTTAACCAGAGCAACCCAGTCACGGCTAACGGAGCAGGACCGACATTCCTTACAGTCATCACTGGGCCCCACACTCTGTTTCTGCTCCTACCATATCAGTGTCCAGGTGGATTCCCTATCCAAGCGTTCAGACCTTGGGGTATTCCTGGCCCCTCCTAAGGGCATCCCCTTTACACCCCATTGCCTCAGTCTTGACGTAGCACTTGACATGAGCAGTCATGGCTGACAGCGGCTCCATATTGACTGATTGGTCACAGTTGTTCAGAAAGTCTCCTCCACTCTTGCTCTTTATGTATCGAGTGTAGGCCAGGGGCGGGCACACTTTCTGACTCGAGGGCCACAGTGGGCTCTTAAACTGGACCGGAGGCCGGGACAAAAGCATGGATGGAGTGTTCGTGCGAACTAATATAAATTCCAAGTAAACATTACATAAAAGGGTACGGTCTTTTTTTTCAATAGTTTCATTCATTTCAAACGGGCCGGATCCGGCCCGCGGGCCGTAGTTTGCCCACGGCTGGTCTATACAGTAGATCAAGGACCAGAGCAAACACAGACGAGTAGACAGTCTTTGCTTCAAAAAAGCACACATTGGTTGTCTACTAATACATCACTATTAAAACTCAGTTACATTTCCTCTATTGTCATAACCACTTACAATTACCAGTCATTTAAGGAACAGAGATAAATACTGTAATTATGTAGACCTCATTATGTGAGTATTTAAAAAACCATTTTCTTCCCCAGAGTTGTAAAATGTTATGATAACTTGATTTATTGTTATAATTTTACTTTTTTTCTGTTTCATTTTTAGGTTCAGAGAGTATAAAATTATTGCAGGATAATTTGGAACCATATTGCTAAATATTCAAGCTATTGATTAAACATCTTTTAACCTAGACCAAATTGGTGGGGGGCCTTTTCTCCAACATTATGGCCCAACTATTAATGTTTAGACACCCTGTTTCTTCCCTGTATGTAGTTTCCGGTATCATCCTGTTTTGTTCCAGTGTCATATTTACTTTTTTAAGGCTGACAATCAAAACATGCATAAAGTTCAATTCTGTTGCAGTAAGCGTTCCAGTGATGACGAACCTTTTGAGCTCGGCGTGTCAGCATTTTGAAAAACCCCAACTTAACTCTGGTGCCTTGTCACATATAGACATTTTTTGATATTTGCAACCATAGTAAAACAAAGACTTATATTTTTGATATTTATTTTATATATTTAAATGCCATTTAACAAAGAAAAATCAACCAAAAAAAATGAGTTGGCGTGTCACCTCTGACACGTGTGTCATAGGTTCGCCATCCCTGCGACAGTGTGGACGTTTTGAGAACTTTGGTGAAAGCTCAGGTTACTGGCAGGGTGACATGTCCCAGGCGGGGGCCTAAGGGAATTAGGGGGGACAAGGACAGCAGCAGCCCTGGGTGCAAGCAGCACCACCTTTCCACCCGGGCTCTCCCTCCAGGGCCCACCCTCTCCCAGCTGCGAGGTGCCGGGTCCCTGATGCAATCGATGCTCAGGGTGAGCAAACGCGCCATGGACTCCGAGGCGTCCCTGCGGGCGCGGGCGCTGAAAGCAGGAGGCGGTGAAGCCAATGGCGCGGACCGCCGCTCCCTGCGCCGTTGCTTCCGGCCGCTGTCCAGCCGGCCTTCCAAGGTGACAGCTTCCTAAGGGCACTGCCCGGGGAGGCGGAGGGGTGCTCTGCAGTCAGCGCTCATTCCCCGTTTCCCACGTGGCGCACCGTTATTTCCTCGCCTTTTCCTGTAAACGACACGTGTGCTCAGGGGCAGCCGGGCGGAGCAGCCGGGGCTCGCGCTCAGCCTCCCCGCAGGACACGCGTGCACCACCCGGCGGAGCGGAGCGCAGCGCAGCGCGCCTGGGGGACCCGCGACCCGCCCTCGGCCTCTCTGCAGGGGGTCGGGCGAGGCGGGCTCACGTGGTGCGGATGACGTCAGCCCACCGGGTGCGTGACCGCGGCCCCGCCCCCCAGAGGCCCCGCCCCGCCAGCGGCGCGCAAACCTCGCGAGAACCGCCTTCCTCTCGGAGCTGACGGAGCTGACGGGGCGGCCCTGAGGAGCGGAGGTGTGGCCGGGGGCGGCGTTTCTGCTTTCATTCCGCCACCGTGACGGCCGCAGGCGACCCGCTGGGGGCCGCCCGAGTGTGAGCACCCCGACCGGGAGGCGGCGGGAAGGCGGGGCCGGGGCAGTGCTGGGAGGGAGGCGCGGCCCGGCGGGGTCTCCCTCGCGGAGGGGCCGCCGCCCCCGCGGTCACGCGCCGCCCAGTCCTGCGCCCCGTCGGCCCGGCCCCGCCTCTCCCCACGCGGGAGCGAGCGACACCGGAGGGGCCGGCGGGGGCCGCCGAGGGCCGTCAGGACCGCGAGGCGGAGGCAGTCGTTCCGGGGGCGCCGGCCCTCCAGCCCCGCAAGTGCCCCTCCTACCTCCCCGCCCCTGCACCATGCCCCACCCCCGCCCTCGCTGCTGGCTCCGCCCCTTCTCGCTGGCTCCGCCCCCGCCCCTCGCGCGAAGGAGCCCCGCTCAGGCTCCTCCCCTTGCCGCTGGGCCCCGCCCATAGCCCCGCCCCTCCCGCGAAGGAGCCCCGCCCAGGCTCCTCCCCCGGCCGCGCACCCCAGCCCCGCCCGCGGGCCCAGGATCATTCGCAGCTGCTGGCTGCTCGCGTCTCGCCCCGCGCCGCCTGTTTTCCGCTTCGCGGCCCGGGTTACCGAGCGCGGTGCCCCTGCGGCGGGGAGGGCCGCGGGAGAAGGGCGCACGGCGTCCGGAGGGGCCGCAGGGCCGCGCGGACGAGCAGGAGCCCACTGAGGTCGCCCCCGCCCCGCGCGATCCGGCGGGCAGCCACTCGCGGACGCGGGCGGCGAGCGGGCCCGGGGACAGCCCGGCCCCACGATGGCTTCCACCACCACCTGCACCCGGTTCACGGACGAGTACCAGCTCTTCGAAGAGCTCGGAAAGTAAGCGCGGCGCCGGGGGGGCCGGGAGGGTGCTCTCCGCGGGGGCGGCTCGGACCGAGCGCCTTGCCCCCGCCCGCATCGGAGCCGGCGGGCCCCGCAGTCGGAGAACCCGCAGTCGTAGAGCGTTCTCTGTGAGCCGAGATGCCTCCGGAGCCCGCGGGGAGACCACGCGCGGCCGGGTCGCGCTGTCCCCGCCGTGCCGTGTCACTGACGCCCCGAGTTCCACGTCCAGAGAGGGGCCCGGGCAAGGCCGACCCTGCCCCGCGCCACGGTCACCCCTGGTCCCGGGTGACTCCCCCACGGTCCCCTCCCAGGGCTCGCGCGCATCCCCGCTTCCTCGGAGGACTTACAGGCAGCCCGAGAGCCCATTGGGCGCCGTGGTGTCCCCAGGTGGCCTAGCAGTGCGTGGACCTGCGGGACCGCTGGAGGCGTGCAGGGAGAGAGCAAGGACCTGCCCAGGCCCGAGCGCGGGGACCCAGGGGCTGGAGGTGTGCAGGGAGGCCAAGGGGAGCCCCCCCGCCCCCCGCCACCTCCCAGGCCTGTGCGCGGGGACCCAGGGGCTGTGCAGGGAGGCCAAGGGGAGCCTCCCCGCCCCACCCCCCCAGACCCGTGCGCGGGGACCCAGGGACTGGAGATGTGCAGGGAGGCCAAGGGGAGCCCCCCACCCCCCATCCCCTAGGCCCGTGGCACTGATTTGCTGAGGGTCGGTAGTGCACAGGGACCCAGGGGCGACCCGGATGCTGATTGATGGTTTATGCAGCATCTGACCCAAACCCAATCCTCTGCCTGTTTCCACGATTACTGATGAGATGGTGCGGTGTGTGATGATGTTCCTGCAGCTGAATTGGAGGAAATGGAAATACCTTTTAGATGGAATGAACTTTCTAGCCTTACATGTTTATGCATTGTTTGTTAAAACATGGAGAATATGTCGGAAGAGCAGCTTAATTCAAATCTCTCCCCTCCCCCAGCCCAAAACAGGCACGGAGAAGTCACCACGTTAAACCACACCAATGTTCCAAGATTTATATTCTAATGAAAACAATCGCCATCTTTACTCACTTGGAGCCACGTTAATTTTTCTTACCAGGATATTTCTGCTGCTCTTCCGCAGCTCGGCTCTGTGCAGGGGTGTTTTTTCTGGAGCATTTGGTGCGGTGTGAGTGTGAACTGCAAAAGGTTTTCCTATTGCATGTGCAGACAGGAGCCTGGGAATTGGCAGTCCCTGTCATTTTGTTGATTAACGATGTGTGCTCCCAGTTAAATAAGATTTACTCTGTTCTCGGCATCAAGGCTGGTCCGGGCTTCCAGGAAGAGTGGGTCATTTTCTGGATAGTGCGTAGCGCACTGATATTTGACAGTTCACTACCTTCACCGGAAATGCTCCGCATGCTGTCATTTTTAAGTAACCGTCAGAGCTGATTATAGAGGTGACCTGGCAATGTTTTGTTTTCAGGGGGGCTTTCTCAGTGGTGAGAAGATGTATGAAAATCCCTACTGGTCAAGAATATGCTGCCAAAATCATCAACACCAAGAAGCTGTCTGCCAGGGGTAGGTGGTGTCCACTGTGCGTGTCTGTTACCTTTGTGCTCCTCTTGCAAGCACATCACATGGTTGTCGCTGAATGATGGGCTTAGGTGGCGGTCACATACTGAGATTAGTTCTCCCGAATGCCTCTTGGTCTATACAGTCTAAAAATAAATGAACAAATATAACTTAACAAGTTTTTATAAAAATTCTGTCCTATGAGCAATAACACAAATAACTATATTTCAAAGCAAATAAATGTCACGAAGTGTATTTTGCCTTTAGCTCTACTGTGAAGTAACTTTCAAAAGCCGCTGGAATGGAAAAAATGTAAGTTGCACAGCTATCATTGTTTCCTTTTGCTTTTGAGAGGAAAATAGGTCAGAGCTCAGTTGATTCATATATTTCAGTTGTAGTTACACTTGAACTTAATTCATCAAGGTATATTTAACACTCATGGCGCTGGGAGGAAAAATTTGACTGCTGTATTCTAGGAAGTTCAGCCGGTTTTGACATTTCCATGTGCACTTCAGCCCTCCCCTTGGCCTTAGCAGGGAGATTGCTCACAGACCCGGAATGTGTTGTGCACATGCTCAGTAGCCACAGAGATAATTCATGCTCGTGAATAGCTGTTGACATAAGCAAGAAACTTGGCGCGCCCTCCCTGCACTTGCGTTCCTTCTTTGGACTCGTGCGGAAGTCCTCCTCCTGAAATGTGAGGCACCCGGTTACTGGGAGCATGTGGCTGAGGCATTGCCGTGGGGATTGATGGCTTAACGAAAGAAACACGAAATGAACATGAACAAAATGCAGAGTGTCAGCCCGTTTCAGTGACCTGGTTTGTTTTATCCAAGTAATAAGAAAAGGAGTTCCATCAGGGTTTAATTCGTCTTCAAAGAGTGCTGCTGCCTTGGCCTGTGACATCACTGCCTTGGCCTCTGCCGAGATTTGTTGCAAATCCCACCTTAGCGTGGCCTGTGGGTGTAGACGGGCATTTCAGGGAATTGGTTCGGGGGGTTGGGTTGTGATTCTGAGGAGCCCCTGTGCCAAGCAGGCCAGGCCGCAGGCCAGAAGCAGCGGAGCACATGGCCCAGGGATGCTCCCTTCACGCTGCTGCTCCCCAAGGAAGGCTTTCTACAGGGAGAGGAGCTGCTACACTGTAGCTGACACTTCAGTTGTTAGAAACTGTGGAGGGGCCCCCTGTCAGTGCTGGTGCCATCTCCTCCGTTCGGGCGCCAGGCCCTGGGCACCAGTGGGACGCACTTCTTTCCCAGGCATCTCAGCCCTCCCAGAGTTCCAGTGGCTGACTTTTCCCGCAGAGCAGACACGCTGTGCTTCCCTTTGCTGTTTCTTGAATTAGAGTGTCCCTCTTCATCCACCTGACCCATGCTGAGAGGCAGACGCCATGTCTTCTCCCTCCTCCCTCCCCCTCCTCCTCCTCCTCCTCCTTCCTCTCTCCTCCTCCTCCCTCTTCCTCCTCCCTCTTCCCTCCTCCTCCTCCCTCCTTCTCCTCCCTCTTCTCTCCTCCTCCTCCTCCTCCCTCCCCTCCTCCTCCTCCTCCTCCTCTCTCCTCCTCCCTCCTCTCTCCTCCTCCTCCTCCCTCCTCTCTCCTCCTCCTCCTCCCTCCTCCTTCCTCCCTCTCCCTCCTCCCTCCTCCTTTCTCCCTCCTCCCCAGCTCCTCCCCCTCCTTCCTCCCTCCTGCTCCTCCCTCCTCCCTCCTCTTTCCTCTCTCTCCCCCTCCCTTCTCCCATTCCCTCCTCCCTCCTCTTTCCTCCTACCTCTTTCCTTTCTCTCCCTCCTCCACAGCTCCTGTCCCCTCTCTGCCCATCATCTGCTGAAAGAGCAGTCTGCACCCCAAGCCCCCTTGCCCTCCTGGAGGCACGCCCCCCCACTGTCCCAGTTACATTCATTCCGGAGAGGTGGTGGGTGCAGGACAGAAGACCAGCCTCCTGCTCTCCTCCCCTCTCCTTGGTCTGCAGGCGGCTCCTCACCTGCTTGGCCTTAACCTGCCGCAAATGAGTAAATTCTCACTCCTCTGCCTGCTAGCTGCTCTTGGGCACTTCGGTGCTTCCAGTGAGCCTCGATTTTCTCACCTTGAAAACGGGGTAACACTAGAACACTTGCTGTTGTGGGGCATGTGAGGAGTGACAAGTCACCACCGAGGGCCCCGTGCTGGGCGTGCGGTTAGCTGCTCTTATCTCTGTGGGTTGTGGTGAGCCAGTGAGGTGACCTATCTGGAAGGTCAATCAGAGCCCAGTTGGCTTCCAGGCTCCACCACCAGTAGGTGGAACCGCGTCGGTTTCTATGTTATTTTGATCGCAGGTTCTTCCTCAGTGAGATTGGAGGGGAGGATGCCAGACAGAATCATGGGTGGTTGTGAGGAGTCATTGAATTGTATGAGAGTCACTTCTTAAGTTGCCAAGCGCTGTGTCTGTGTTATCTATTATTACTGCTCACCTGAAAATATGACAGTACTTTTCCTTCAAGAAGTTTAATTCATTTTATATTGTCAAAACAGTTGAACTGGTTATAAATTACTTGTGCCTTTGAATGTATACATTTGTTTAATATATACCCACATTAAATCATACACCCTCGGAGGAGAAATGCTGTGCTTTCGTTGTAGAGTGTCACAGGCCACAGCCTGGAGGACACAGGATGGCCAGGTAGAGTGACCAGGACCAGACATGGCTCTTAAATCGAGTGGAAAGGAGGGAGGCACCTCGTTTCTTCAGAACAAGCACATCGGGGTGTGAAGTCATCTGTAAAGTGTATCAGAGCATATGCTTTAAAAGATGAGTTCTGCTTTAAAACACTCCATGCCCAGAATATAATGATCCTGAAACACTACTATCACAAACATTTTATGCAAAGGGCAATGTAGGATGAAATACAAAATAGCACGCTAAATTTTTTGTTTTTTTTCGGGGGCGCATATGGTGTTTTTTGTGGAACATATACATTTTTTTTTTTTTTATAAAAATTTGTGTTTTATTTGAAATGTCACATACCTTTGTAAATCTGAGTTTTGAGCCTATTAGTTTTAAAGACCAACCAGACAGGTCCTTCAACCAAAATAATGTTCTTTAAATATAACATTACAACTGAAGAAGAAGGCCATTGTCATCCAAAACCATAAGGGAATTGCCAAAAATGTGGCTGCATTCCTGCACAGATCTGATCTGCACACCCAGCGCCCCCCCCCCCCCCCCCCTGCACTCCCCCGCGGGTCCTGGTGGGTTTCCAGCAGACCTTCTCAGCTGCGCTTCCTCTGCGGCTGGTCACACACCATATTTGGGAGACTCAGAGTCTTGAAGAATTTCATTCCTTTTGCGTTAACACCTGCGCACAGGGCTTCCTTATGCAATTCTGATCAGATAGATAATTACACTCATATAATTTGACTTGTTTTAAAAATAAATAATGTAGCCTGGCAGGTGTGGCTCAGTGGTTGAGCATCGACCTATGAACCAGGAAGTCACGGTTTGATTCCTGGTCAGGGCACATGCCCAGGTGGTGGGCTCGATCCCCCGTGTGGGGCATACAGAAGGCAGCCGATCCATGATTCTCTCTCATCATTGATGTTTCTCTCTCCCTTTCCCTCTCCCTTCTTCTCTGAAATCAATAAAGATATCTTAAAAATAAATAAATAAATAAATAATGTAGAAAAGTCTCAAGCATCTGCTATTTTATCTGTAATTCCTGCCTTCTGAGAAGTGCTGTGTGAGGTGGGAAGAGAAAGCGGGCTGGGTCCATGCTCGGTGGTGGCACTTGGAGTTTGTCTCATGTGTTTACCGTGAGAATTAGAATGGGATCACTTTGATCCCAACAGTTAGTTAGTGCTTAGGCAGTGCTCCTGTGGCTTGCTCTCGGTTTTTTGTCTGTTTTGACACGATTGTTGCTGTGAGGTGCTGTCAGGTTCTGGAAGGTCCCGCCGGGCAGTGCTGAGGTCAGAACCGGTGGCTGGTGGCCCTGATGACTGGTGTCTTTAGAAACAGGACAGGGGGTGGATTCTGCATTGTCAAGCCTCCCGGGGCTGAAAGGTTTTTATGGTCGTGGTGACTTGCTGTGCGTCTCCTGTGGTATTTTTTGATCATTAGAAACCGCTCATGACGTAGAGTGTGATGTGTCAGGAGTCCCTGTGTTTGTTAAATACAGTGAATTCTAACGGAAGCTGAAAATAATTATGCTGTGATAAGTGTAGTTACTTTACTCTGCTACGGAAGTTAGAAAAGAGTTTCAAATCTTATTTTTCTATAACTCTTCAGACATAATGCAATTAAATCATGTTGGCAGTCGTTGATGCTGCTACTTCTGTTAGTTCCTACATACTGATGACTTGATGAAGCTACTTGGCCATGTACACACCATTAGGTCTCAGCCGTGAAACCCGAAGGTTGAATATATGTCCTGAAGTTCCTCTGTTATGCTATAATAGGTATGTCAGTAACTAACTCTTATTCCTCTTTCTCTATGTTGGCATTTAGATAGTCCAGAAATTATGTAATTTCTCAGCCTCTGGTTACTTGTCTTGAAGTACAAATAGATGAAATGATGTAGGTGAGTCAACTTGTTCTGAATATAAGTTACTGATTTGATTATTTAGAACTCATTAAACAAATTAATATTTTTTCAAGTTTCATGGCTCCAACAATGTTTTAAGAAAAATTAGTAAATCATTTTTATTTTTGTTCATAGAATCTCTACAACTCTTCAATCATTGGTCCCCAAAATGGCATGCATCATCCTTCTCATGCTGTGTTCTTTAGTTATGTTTAATTGTATTTCCATCCTCACATAGGCCCTGGCATTAGACATTTATTTTCCTCTTTTGGTGAATGAAAATGTTATTGCTATTCAAAACCAGTTAGGAAATAAAATGGAAATGCATATCTACATTTCTAGGAAATAATAATTCCTTTTGTGTTCCAGCATCATTTAAATAAGGCAGACTTAGCAAAGCTGTGGTTGCCAGGTCCCTGGCTGTGACCCTAACAACCAGGGTCAGCGTCTGTGGGCAGATT